GTGGTCTCTCCTTCTTTGGAGAGTTTTTAAATAGAGACTGGATGACCATCTGTTGGAGGTGCTTTGATTATGAGTTCCTGCATGGCAGAAGGGGGGGGTTGGACTGGATGGCCCTTGGGGTCTCTTCCAACTCTAGAATCATAATAATTCTTGATTGATTGATTGATTGATTGATTGATTGATAACCCGCCTCTCTGCATAGCAACCAGAGCTTCTATGCTTGCTAGCCATATACTTTGCAAGAGTGAATGATGGATTACGTTGTACCGGTGATGATGCTGGGCGGAGAGACTGGTGGTTATCTTTCCCAAGGCTGGTTAATGAGCAGATGTGAAGGAAAAATATACTTTGAACTGTCAAGGTCAGTTTGGTGGGAAGATTTGATAAGGAAAGTGAAGGAGGGCAGTTCCGGGAACAGGGATTATTTGGTTAGAAGACAAAGGGGCGGGTGAGCGTCTGCAAACATTTGAACTGCAAAATATTCTTTTTGATTACAAACAAAAGCCATAATACTAACACTAACAAATCAACACAATACATTTCTTTATACCTAAAACAAACATATAGGGAAAACAAATTACACTAAACTACAAATCTAACTACTAACAACAAGAAGATACAAAAATAAACAGACTCACAGGGGAATTGTGGTTTCCAACTAGCCTGTCTGTGGTTCTATGACACTGAATACTGTTCTCCTATATTATTCAAGCCTTAACCTTGTATATCGTATTTTAAAATGAACTTAATATATAAAACTGAGCCAGCATGGTGTAGTGGTTTGTACATTTGACTATGACTCTGGAGAGTGGGGTTCGAATCCCCGCTCGGCCATGAAAACCCACTTGGGTAACCTTATGCAAGTGACACTCTCTCAGCCTCAGAGGATGGCAAGAGCAAACAGAGGCTAGGTGGAGTGCTTCAACTATGTCTTCCTGCATGGCAGAATGGGGTTGGACTGCATAGCCCTTGGCATTCGGTAAGACCTTTTGATATCCTGCTTGGCCAGCTGCATTCTGGAAATGTTGGAAGGACATACAGTTAAAGGAGAAATTGTAGTTCTTTTACTGTGTTGTGTGAGTGGACTCCAAGTTACACAGGTATGGGATTTGTGTAAGCCTCCAGAAACAGCAAAATGCAGGCCTATAACTAACATCTTCAATCCCCCCCCCCATGGTTTTTAACACCTTGCCTGATGAAGAAGCCAGTGGAACTTCAAAAGCTTGCAACATCTATATTGCGCATTTTGGTTGGCCCCATAAAGGCATCACTGTTTGGAGGATTTCGGATATTGTTGGATTTGTTATATGGCCGACACATCTACTCCTGGATGTTTTCTGCATTCCAAGATACTGCATTATAGTTGCAACAGGGGAATCCTAAAGGGAAAGGCAGTGCACTGGGACCTTACTATTTGAGGTTTCTACCTCCAACAAAGGCAAAACAATTTTTTTTTCTTATATTGGGACTGCCTTGGCATGTCTTACCTCAACACCACCTGAGGTTTTTCTGATGCAAAAGCATGAAGGCTTCTTGAGAAATTCACTGTCCTCTGCCTAACTATGGGGGGTTGCAGACTGTCAGAAAAAGTGCAAATTCAGTCCACTT